CCATTTAATAAAACTTCAGCTTTGTAACTGGTTTGCTCTTCAAGCGTCGTCATGCTTTTCTAACGCTTCTGGGCAGCTTTTACTGGTTTGTCCTTAAGATGGTTTCTGTGAATCATTTATGGGTGTGGGTATATTTTGAGAGCCCCTGATAAATGTATCATGATGATGGCAAACAACAGTTGCCAAGCTCTAGCAACAAATGAAAGTAAAAGCTGGGTAGCCCACATTATTTGAAATAATCAGCGATTCTGATTTTGTTCCTGGGTACGATGATAAAGCATTTCCTATTACAGAATACACAGTGATGCAACCTAATCCCTTCCACCTTATCGCATCTAAAATGTTGCCCAGTTCAGAGAGGCTCCCATCAACTGTAATGGGCAGGGAGTGACAGAATGTGTGAAAAGACAAGAATAACCTCGAGCCACAGCAAATTCTATACCAAAAGCCCCTGGAGGACTAATGATGACAGATTTAATTAGACATAAATGCACTAATGAAATGGCTTAATGTAGTTACTCTGAATCTCGTCCACCAGATTCTGTGACAAGGAACACTTTCTAGTGCCTGAATAGAAAAAATATTTTTCACATGCACAACATATTATTAAAATCTGATGTGTTAAAGTTCAAGTCTAAATAATGATTAGTGCCAAAAACTCCAGGCCAACCAACTTCAGCCTTCTTTCTTAATACTTTAGCTCTGTCCTAAGTCAGAAATTTAAGATGACTGCAGAGAATTTAAATATGTTTGAAAACTGAGCTTGACTTCAAATCAGTGTTAGGTTTACTGAGAAATGGGCATTTTGTAAAAGATATTACAAATCTGTGGCGCTCTCCTACTGAGTTTTCATTCTTGTTAAACTCATTCTGAATAGACAGCGTTGACCTTTTAACTCTGATAACATCAGCGTCCATGTACGTTGGGAGGTCTGTGCCAGACATTATGGTCCTCATAATAAAATGTTCTACACATGAACAAAAAGGCAAGTGTTATAAATAGGAAATTAGCACCACCTTTCCTCTGTCTTGTTGCTTCAATATTTCTGTTAACACTAAACCAATATGTAGAACACCTTCCTGAGATGAAAAGGGGAACAAACTTCTAATGGCATTACTGAGGATTTGATATAAAATTCAGCAGCTTTATAAGTACAATAAATATTTCTAATTAGTAATTGTTTTTCCTTTCTTGTTCTTTAATGAAAGAACTGTGTATTTCAGAATAGGGATTAATCTTGTAAAACGTCATTTAAAAAAAAAAAAACCAATATGTAGAACACCTTCCTGAGATGAAAAGGGGAACAAACTTCTAATGGCATTACTAAGGATTTGATATAAAATTCAGCAGCTTTATAAGTACAAATAAATATTCTAATTAGTAATTGTTTTTCCTTTCTTGTTCTTTAATGAAAGAACTGTGTATTTCAGAATAGGGATTAATCTTGTAAAACGTCATTTAAAAAAAAAAAAGTTTTTATTTTTCTTGAAACATAAAACCACCAAACCATGCAACTGCTTACTTCCTTTTTTGTAAAGCCACCTGTTTTTTGTAACTAAAAATCTTAGCCTTGGTCCCAGAAAGCATTCTTCTGGGGTGGCCCTGCAGGTCCCCTTGCAGGAAGGAGGCAGGCGGGTGCTGGCTGAAGCCGGGGACATTCACTATGGCTGTCGGTGAGTGCTGGACTGGGGAATGAGCCACACCTTGGGAAACCTATTGAGGTTTTGGTTGGATGTGTCATGAAAAATGAATAATATTGCAGTCAAATGTACAAATGGCTCCATTGCAATAGTTTGGGGCATTTATAAATGTATAACAATTTATCAAACAAGCTTTCTCCCAAAGTCAGGCAAAACCAAATGTGTAAAAAAAATGAGGGATTTCAATCGCAAGAGAGCTTAGCTCCCACGGCTACGTTGAAGCAGGCGGGCTCTCTGGAGTACCCCAGTAGTCCCTGAAAACTGTGTCCGTAGGGGCTGAGGGAGGGCGACTTTGCCATCGGAGACTCGCTCTGCACGGCAGTACTTCTCCAAAGGGTGTCTCCCGCTTACTGTGGGGATGCATGCACAGCGAAGGTATGTTGCTGCTGTCTGTGAGCACTCTCAGATGATGTCATTTCCCGCCACACTCCTAAAAAAATAAGTATTCATGAAACTCTTGCTCTGAGGACGGTAATGTATTGAGTGGCTATCTGGCATCTAAGCACGCTGTATGTCCCCAGAGGTTGCAGACAGACATTCTGTAACCAGAATTTGGAGATGTCACAAGTGGCTGAACAAACAAATATCGCCAGTTAATGGTTAAACTCTCAATTTACTAAAGCATTTGTTACTAGTTTGCGAAATAGATCAAACAACCGTGAATCATAACCTTGGCTACTAATTAAATCCTTTATTCCCTTCCCTCATCGCTGAAGCATTTAATCTTGGGGAATCGGGACAGCCTGTTGTGCAGAATTAGATTTTACAGCATAAGCAGAAACAAGCTTACTGTAAGGTTTCCTACTGGAGCTGGAAATGGGAAGGAATAAAATGAGAATATTAACTTTCCCTCCTGGCATGGAAGTTCATGTTAGCACTGAACAATGATTGATGTAAAATAGCTGCATTGGAAAGTCATTTTGGTGGCATAGTTTTTTTTATTTCACTGAATGGTGAATATAATTTTTATTATCTGGCTGTCTTGCTTATAGATGAGACTCATCATCTAGATAGAGAACGAGGGATTTGGTGTACTTTACTAGTGACCGTCTGTCCCAAAGAAAAATATTTTACTCAGAAATAATGGACTGTGAAGAACACCCCGGAGGAAATGAGGCATAAACCAAAATACTACAAGCAGTTTTATTGCAATTGAAATTTATTTCTATTTGTCATGAGATGTTTTTATGTGCGTTTATGTATAGGATGTATAGCTGCACGACAGTTACACTTTCACACCTTATTTAATAGCAAATTAAGCAGCGTTTATCTTTTTAGGTCCCATCTCTGTGAAGCAGAACTTAAAAAGCCCAAACACTTTATTTCCTTCGGTTTTTGGGGAAGTCGTCCTTGTCCCTAGCAGCAGAGTGATGCAGCCAGGGCTCACAGAACAGGAATACCATGAACTAGCATCAGGCTAACTCCGTTCACCGGGACTCGATCCAAACAGGCAGCCATCCCAGTTAGGAGGAGCGAATTTCCATTTTTATAACATGAACCATGATCTTGCGGTCAAATCTGCGGGAGCAGGGACCTAGAGAGAGTCTCACTGAGACACCTCAGTAAGGTATTAAGAGGGAAGGGCCTTCCTATATAGATCCAACTGCAGATTCATGGATCGGTGCATAATTATTGAGGCACAGTCACTTTATATAAATGCACTTACACTCTTAGCGATCTGTAGACCTGTGGTGAAAAGCTGTACATCATTAGTTTGAAAAGCAACCATATTTTACACTGTATCTGGAGAAAGCAATCTTTTCTTGATGTCATTGCTAAATCTAAACACTTTCTGTAACAAAAAGAAACCACCTGAGAGGGAGTATCTACAAGTAGAAAATGAGAGCTTTTTTTGGCTTTGCAGAAAGCTATTTTCCCACTGAAAAGTGTGAGTTTTCAGAAAGGGAATGCCCCAGCTACACTTGCCCTGCTGTTCAGAGGACAGACATCCACCATTTGCACATGCAGAACTTCTGTTTGCTGGGGGAAATTTGTCCTGAGGAAATACGTGAATACTCACTAAAATTCCAGGTTATGTTTAACTGAAGAGGCTTGGGTGATACCATGCTATATCATACCAAAGACCCAAACCTGTACAGAACTTGAATATGATTTTTCCATCCCATAGTGAGTATGAAAGCTGTCAGGTTCAGTACAGACAGAAAGCACTGCCTAGTGACATCTCAATATGCCTGTCTATCATCATTGCTAATAATAATTTTATAAAGACAAAACATCTGGAATATCTAACTCTGCTTTTACTGCTGCTTCCCCAAAACCATCACTAGAAGTCTGTTTGGGATGAGAGTTAGAAATACTAGACGTTCATGCATTTAAAAAGGAAAGAAAGATTGTGCAATAATGTCATACAAGCGTGTCTGATAAGAGTAATGGAATGAGCAAGCAGAATAAATCATCAGCATAGCTTAATGTTTGATTTCATATGTTAATGTTAAGAAGAAAAATCCATCATCTTTGCAAACTTTGAAAAATTTAAATTTTTTCTGCTCTTAATGAATAGTTTAAAAACTCATGTCAGATACTATGAAAATCTGTTATTTTAAAGTACAAAGAGCAAATGATTATTTTTTAATTCTGTTTTCAGTTCATATGCATGTGCTTGAAAAGGGAGATAAGTTTGCTTAAAGACCTTCCAGATTATTTTGTCTTTACATACACTTACAGTTTGGTTTTGGGATACGTGTGTATGTAGATGTACATTCAGCTACCACAAGATCATTTGGATTGTTTAGCAGTCAATGCAAAAATCTTCAAAATGGGGGTTTTTTAATAAATTTTGAAAAACAAATTCATATAAGTGAAGAAACGTATTGTACAAGACTTAGGAAAAAAAAAAACAACAAAAAACCCCCAACCAACCAAGCAAAAAACCAACAAAAACCTAACCAAAAAAACAAAAGCTGGAATTCTAGAGTGACCGTGTATAAAAGCTGTGTATGGCTGAATATGCAGGAACTTGATAGCTGGGTTTTTTTCAGAGAAGAAATTGGGAAAGATGCGTGGAGGTTTGCTTAGACATAGGAGGAGGTTATGTGGACACTGCTTTTTACTGTCAAAGGTATGCATACCTAGCATAGGTCAGATAAAATCCCGGATTTTTATAGCCCCCTTGGAAGGTGGGGAAGGTCAACATAATAGAGTGTTGTGCTCCCAGGGTGAATCGCAACTGCTTACATTACACATTCACATGTTAGTGAAGCATTTACTGCAGGCTGTTGTTTTTATTGTCTGGATGGAGATGCTCTTTCCCCCCACCCACCTTCCTCCTTTTTCCCACAGGCTGCGAGAACACCACCGCGCTGCAATTAAGGTGATTCGTAGGATGCAGTATTTTGTGGCCAAGAAAAAGTTTCAGGTGAGTTGTGAATAGAAAGCTTCTTTTCTAAATAAACCCTTTTATTCTCCTGATTCGTTGTTTCTTTTAGAAACTTAAGAGAGACTAACACAATTCATTTCAGTAATGGTGAGCTACACCCACTATTCTCTCCCTCCTTCAATAGGGTGGTTGTTTAGCAGCAGGTTAGACAACTGTGGATGCACTGGAAATAGGCTAAACTTCTGAAATGCAGTCTGAATTAAAACATTATTTTCTGCTAATGGACTTGACCCTTAACCCTCTGTTATCGCTGTCTCTTTCTCGCAGTGCAAACATTCTCATATGTCTCCATTAATTCTGAGCTGTATGTTACTGTCATGCCGAGTCAGTAGGATTAGAGATTAAAATAATACCTCAGCCTTGTTTCTGTCTCTTACTCAATGATAATGAAGTCCTGATAAGAAACTGGGGTGGAAATTTGTTAGCGTATTGGAAGGTTTCTCCTTCCTTTTCCCTTCACCCCTCTGCATAAGTAGGAGACCTCCTTCCGAGTTTGACAGATCTCGGTTCTCTTTACTCCTCTAGCCCTCACTGGCATATGTTTCCTGTGTGCCACTTCACTTGCTGTGATATTGCCATACCATAAGCATTTAACAGTAGCTAATCAACCCTGTTGACTCATCTGAATGAAAAATTCTGACTGCAAACTTTCTAAGAATGTGGTTTCTAAATCAATTTCATCAATCCAGTAAACATCCATGTGTCAACAGCCTTCAGCTTGATTTAAACCAGGTGAATATATATGTAAGAAATATATTACTTTACTTAAAATTAATTAATAAGGGACAATCCCTGGAGAACAGGCTTCACAATTGAAAATGCAAAGAAACAGAGGGGCTTAACTTCCCCCCCTTAACATCCATTTTCATATATGACCGCAGCACTACTGCTTACGATAGACTAAAAAGCTTTCCTGCCCTTAATCTATCCCCCCCAAAAAGGGGGGGTGTCCTTTTTCTGTCAAATACTTGAAGGGCGCAAAAGTTTAGGATCAAAAAGATGATGATGATGGTGATGATGACTAACAGTCCAAGAGAGCATCATTTCTGTAAGGCGATGCTTGCTGCTACTTCAAAACTGTGATTCTGACTTCCTCACTGAAATTTAGAACTGCCTGAATTCTTGAGCAGTTTCCTACTTTGAATCTTTTTATTTTTACTAAAAATGATGAGCTAATTTATGGCTAAGGTTGCCTGAGCTTTTCAGAAATGTGTTTCAGTTATATATAATGTATTCAGACTGTCACCATATAGGCTGACGTCTCCCACGTCCGGGGTTCTCCCATGTCCGGGGTCATGGAGGGAGCACTTTCAGAAAGTTTCTGCTAGCACATTTTGCCTGGTTTTTTTTTATTAGACTAAAATTAAGAAAGGCACAATGTCTGGACTACTTGAAAATAATTTTTATAGTAATTTTGTTGAGAAGCTCCTTAACACTTGCTGGTCAGCACTTGTAACTTGACAAGGGACGTGGCCCATTCCAGTGATGTGTCCACTGCGACTCTGTGAAAACTGCCTAAATGTGGCCAGTTACATTAAACTTTGATTTATTCTCATTCTAAAACCTGATTGTGATCCTTTGCTCTGTGGTAATTACTGAATCATTGCTCTCATAAATTCAGATCATAAAATATTTGCCATGGTATTAACTAAACTGCTTAGAAACAAGAAATCTACACATTATATATCTACCTCCCAAGTGGTATTTGTCAAAAACAGATTTTGAAAATGCCTGAATGCTGTGTGCAACATTATCCACCTGGCAAATAAACAAAACTCCCCTGCGGCAGATGACTTGATAGAAGCTAAGAAAGCATTTGACTGAATAGAATGGGACTATTCAGTTCATACTTAAAACTTGTTTGTACTCGGTATCCCGGTTGCTAATCTGGCTTCTCAGTTGTACTCTCACTTTCGCATCTGCAAAAGACCTGCTTCTGGCCATCTACAAAATCCCTCAACAAGGTTGTCTCTCATCCTTCTTTAGTAGTCTTTCTTCATCCTGAGCTATCAATATTAGCTGTTATTAAAGAACTAAAAATGTCAGTTAAGCTGAAGTGAAAATTATCTCAAGTCACTCCTGTGTACAAGTGATACGCTGCTGTTTCTGTCAGAAGCAGAATCTTCCAATAGGGGGATATCTGATACTTCTCCATAATTTCTGAATACAAGATTATGCCCAAGTTTAAAAATTCGGAGAGCACCAAAGGTACAGTTTTCAAAAGCACCTAAGTAAATTAATGCACAAAGTCACCTTGAAATTCAAGCCACAAGGTGCTTTTGAAAATCTCTCCTATAATTAAGAGATAACCACTGTCATTGTTCTTTCCTCAAAAGTATGTTGTAAATCTGCTTTCTTCTATGGTATGCATATAAAATAGTCATAAGAAATTGGAATGTTTAAACATGTGCCAAGTAATGACTATACAGTTTCTAATAACCAGTCCAACACAATATCTGAAATTAGGGTAAAGCAGAAGATGCATTTTAAAAATTTATCTTTCAGCATTTCAGAGGTCTGCATAGGTGTTTTCTGGTAGGTATTTGCCTTCTAAGCTTTTTGTGTTTATGTGAAATGTATCTTCCTAAAAGAAAATTCAGATTTTTTTGCTATATCTATTGAAAAAAACCCAGCTGAAGTCCATTGGACTATTTATGCTTAAAATTAGCTGGAACATAAGTAATTGCAAGGCCAGCACCTAAAAGGAGTATTTTTTAGAGGTGCCTCCGAAGCTTTTGGGGAGGGGAAGCATAGGAAGAAGGAGAGGAAGAGGAAGATTTTGCAAAATAGGTCCCAGCATGAACCCAACATGGTTCTTGAACTGTACCAGCTGTTTGCAGGATACACCTGCATGCCTGAATTTGTGTAGATACATTTTTTTTAAGAGCTCAATTAATAACGGGGGGTGATGGCACCACAAGAACAAAAGTCAGTTAGAAAGCAGAGACTTCCTGTTTAAAAAAAATAAATAAAATAAAGAGAAGGTAAACAGGGATACAAAGAAATTTCAAAGGACATGAAAAGCAGTTCTTTGTGAAGCATTACACTTGGGCATCATTTCCTCTTTAAAAGAAGGAGAGAAATTTATGCTCTGCTTTAAAGTCCAGGTTTGAATACTGTCCATACGATGATGTCCATGTAAGAACCCAGCATAATATTATAAAGAATTAATACCTTTTTTATGGATGTGTTTATGCTCTTGTAAAGTCTGTAGGACTGTTTCAAATTTGCAGGAAAGATTATATTCTGCTAGTAGTCAATACAAGTCCTGTGCATCAGTTAAGGTGAATGGCTCACGGTTAAGGAAGGATCCTGTAGATTATAGGGAAAACAATACTTAGAAATTAATGCTTTTCTAGGCTTTGTTCACTCCGCCTACCAAAAATGAATTTCATATATTTGTTATAAATCAGATGTCTTTGGCACAATCTAAGCTTACAACTGAATTTCAGAAAGAAAATCACCATACTCGGTTATTCCATTAGCCGGATTCATGAGAAAATAACCTTTGTCTTCCAATTAGGAAAGTTTCTACATGTCTTAAGACTTATGCACATGCATACAACTGTGATATCCATCACAGATCCAGACACCAGGGATTTGATCTGATTTCCCATTGTCATTTTGAAATCTTTTTTTTCTCTTTCCATGTAAATTCTTCCTGTTCAGTAAATCAATTTCCTTCTAAAATATGTTTTTAACTTGTGTTATGTTTTTCACCATGGCGAATATTCTATACATAGTATAAACTAAAAATACAGGTTGGAGTTTCACCGATGACGTGAGTAACTGTTGCCTGGTTTGTTACAATTTCACTGGAAAATCTTGCATTTATAGTCTTATAATTAATCACCTTATGTAATTCATTTGTCATGGTATGAATCATGAATTGTGTGTGTAATCTTTTCTAATCTCCGTACCGAGCTGTACCAAACAATGTAGTTCAGAGCGTCCTGTGCTTCAAAGGATGTTCTACCCATTTTATTTGACTGTTATTTGGTTACATTTCCCACAAATTCCCCTTGCACGGATTCTCCTCTCCCTTTCCCGGGTCTGCCTCCCTGCGCATGCAGTTACTAGGGAACAGCAATGGCCAGTGGTGCACATTTACTATTTGGCCTTGGCTTTTGTGCCTTTTGCAAACTTTCATCTATGATGGGGGAAATTTTAACTCATATAAGAAGATTTTTGCCATGAGTATTGGTTAATTAGCAGAGGGACGAAAGTACAGAAGAGAAGTAGTTAAGGAAAGCCGTGGTGCTGGCTTCTACTTTTGTTTCTTCAATACTCATCCATTACCTGCTGCAGTTTTTTTTCCTTTTACAAAACTAACACATTGTCAACATCAAGAGTATTTTCTCTTGAAAGATCAGCTTTCAATATGTAGTAATTACAGAATAATCAGTACTGACTATTAAATACCCTATCCTACTCAGAAATTAAGCTTCATTCATAAATTCTGTTTACTCCAGGTTTTCAGTTCTTGTTTTAAAGAGAAAGCAGCAGCCCAGTAAATGAAAAACAGGCAGCGACATACCTACTCTTTCTACTGTCAGACACCTGCATCAGAGTACGAGGGCAGCAGGAGAAAGCTCTGCATCTTTATTCTTACAGAACTGCTTTTCTGAATCTGGAGTTTTCAAGCTGATCCTGCAGATTTCTCTCTTGCTTATTTATAGTACAAAAATAATCCAAGAATTCTTTTTTTTTTATATCATAATGTTTACAGTACTAGTCCATGGAAAGACTTATGGGCTTATGCCATCATTGAATCATACTTCTTTCTTTGTGGATGTTAGTTATGATTTATATGTGTGTAAGCAGTCGGGGTTCTTGGGAATTCTTCTGTGTGCTCTTTGGTTAGACTGAAGTAATTCCCGTTCCTGTTTAGCCTTCCACTAGGGAGTATCTCACATTCACCCAAGGTTTGCAGTTGACTTTGGGGAATCTGGCAGACTGAAATATAATTTGTTTGATGAAGTGATATTATTAAAATAATGATTATTAAAGTAATGATTCCTAAAATATGGGAGCTACCTCCCAGGCAGGTGCAGACTGCATGAAGGTGCCTCAGCCTGGTTTTTATATTGTATCCCACTTTTCTTTGCCTTAAAAAAGAAGGTATTTGTGGCATGGAATTGAGGAAAACCTGCAGCATAAGAAATAAGTTTAAGCAGTGCAGAGACATCTCCTGCTTTTGAAGTACAGGTGATAAAATATTTCTGAGACCTCAAATGGTATACAAATTCTGGTATGTTAGAAGCTACCGCTGTAAACTCTTTTCCTTGTTCTCAAAAGGTGCAAGAAAGGAAAAGTTGTAACTTAGTGTTACCAAGGTTTTTATCAAACCTTGAAAATTATCTACAGAGTATATATAGACAGCATAATGAATGAGTCAGAAATATAAAATCATAGAATGGTTTGGGTTGGAAGGGACCTTTAAAGGTCCAACCCCCCTGCAATGAGCAGGGACATCTTCAAATACAGCAGATTGCTCAGAGCCCTGTCCAACCTGACCTTGAATGTTTCCAGGGGTGGGGCATCTACCACCTCTCTGGGCAA